CACCGCGTCCCATTGTGCGCACGCTGGATAAGCAAATTGAAAACTTGCTACAACTGTCCAATGCAGCAGTATGATGTTTGAAAGGATACTTGGAGAATGTGCCTATCTGGATAACGAGCATATTACTTTGTGTTCATGTCTGTATGTCTGTTATATATGCGCGCGCTGGACCAAGTGGCGAGATGTATCAGATTCGACTTCATGAAGCATGAAGCAAAAATACGTGTCAAGGTTGTCAATATGGTTCTAAAATCTGTGTTATCGCAACATGTACACTAGATTGACATCCTGGGTTTCTGGCTTTGCCCAGTAGCCATCAAACGACACGTGCGTATCAAAACATACATGGTGAAACTGACATCCTGGGTTTTTCCGGCTTTGCCCAGTGGCCATCAGACGAAGTTTCCCTGTAATACATGTTTTGTCTTAGAACTCAACGTCAGGTGTTATCTGAAACTCTCAAAGTCTCATTTACTTAACAAAACAATCAAATAACCACATCATAGCAACAAAGAGGCATTTGAGGTCTTTTTCAGCTCCGTTTCTTGTCACGAAAAGGGAAATTACATTGTGCAAACCCTGTTGGTTTTAAGCACCTCGATGTGTACCGAACTCATTTAAATCCAGCTTTTTCTTTGTCAATGTAGGAAATTCCTAAGACTTTGGACAGATGTGTGCGAGCAAGCCATCGTTTTTCGCGGGTTTGGTGAACTGTATCAAACCAGTGCGCACATGCTGTCTCAGCGAGGACTCCACCTCCATGTAGTGTGTAGTGACAATTTTGTCTCAATCCAGCAATCCCAATCACCTGAACTTCTTTGTTATTCGATTGTCGTGCAGTTTTTAACAGGACTTGGCGACGAAGGTTTTTCCAATTTTGTTCTGTTACCTTGGTGTCAATAATCCGACAGAAAAACCCTGGACTTGGGTACCATTGTTCGTTTTGTTCATCAATATTGCATGATGGTAAGATCACCTGGTTCTGGATGATGGGAATCGCTGCTTCCATACTGGTACCATGTCCAAAAGGATAAAAGCATCGAAATGGAATGGGTTGGCATGAGTGTCCATCAATCATTGGTGATGGAAAGCCAAAAGGAAAGAAAAAGGCCAGCCCAATGTTGCCACACTGTGTGTCATGAATCAGCTCGCATTCCGTGAGCATTGTAGTCCAGTTGGGGATGTACTTCAAAATGTCCATGAAAACCTGCGCAGTCGCCCTGTGAACCAATGTAGATTCAATGTGATGTAAACGAAGGAACTCATCAAACATGGCCCATTCCCATCTAGGTTGTGGCAGACTCGGCCGGGGAAACTCATGAAATGCTTTGATTCGGATTTCCTGAAGCATCAGACCTTTCAGTTCCTGCAATATTTCAGATACGTCAAGCCACTTGGCGTGATTGACCAGTGCCGCGTCAATCGCCGGGGAATCTATACAATATGTAACCGCTGTAGACCAAAGTTCCAAGTGTTTGCGCGTCTTGAGCTCAATCATGTCCAACTGTAATGGGTACACCCGTATGAAGCAGTAAGAGAGTTTGGCAAGATTTACTTGGTTGAGCATAGTTTCAAACTTCCATGGAACCTGTCCTGTTGTAAACTTCCAATGTACAGGGATCGCAACATCATACTTAGTGTCTTCGCGATCACTCAGAGTGGGGGTTGAATCATTCAATGCCGGGCATGACGCTGCCTGTTGTTGTAAAAACTGAATGGCTGGTCGTGGTGGTGGAGGAGGAGGCACATATTGTCGAAATAAATTGACTACATTTGGGTCCGTCAGGATGGACGTGTCATGAATTTCAACTCGACAACCATGTGCAGACATGTCCAATACCAATTTAGGTCGCGATGGGGCAGATTTGGCACCTAGTCCTCTTGCATTGGGTGATCGGGATCTATGACGCCGACGATCTCGAGAAGGGGAAAGTGCATGGTGCGGCATATGGAGAGCGCGTGTATTCAAAGTGGTTCAATATTTGGGGCACTGGACACCTTCAGAGTGATTAAACCAATTCTTAACAAGAAAAACCTTTCTAGTCAACAACCATTGGTAAAAACAAATCAACACCTGAAGCCAACCTTTTAGAGCCAAATTTTCATCGTGAGTTAACATCCTGGGTTTTTTCGGCTTTGCCCAGTCGCCATCATACGAAAATGACATGTCAAAACATGTCAAAACATCAGATTGACATCCTGGGTTTTCGGCTTTGCCCAGTCGCCATCAGATGAGGTTTACGCATTAAACCATTTAAAGTAGACTGACATCCTGGGTTTTTTCGGCTTTGCCCAGTAGCCATCGGACGAAGTTTACGCGTCAAACGTGTAAAAGTTATAGATTGACATCCTGGGTTTTTTCGGCTTTGCCCAGTCGCCATTATACGAAGTTTTCGTTTCAAAACGTGTATATACAAATTAGTCTGACATCCTGGGTTTTCGGCTTTGCCCAGTTGCCATCACAGGAGATATATGCACTAAACGATGTAAACCTAGACATCCTGGGTTTTTTCGGCTTTGCCCAGTAGCCATCAGACGAAATTTACGCGTCAAACGTGTAAAAGTTATAAATTGACATCCTGGGTTTTTCGGCTTTGCCCAGTCGCCATTATACGAAGTTTTTCGTTTCAAAACGTGTACAAATAGTCTGACATCCTGGGTTTTCGGCTTTGCCCAGTTGCCATCAGAGGTGATTTACGCACAAAAAAAAAAACCTGCACCTATAAACTGACATCCTGGGTTTTTCGGCTTTGCCCAGTGGCCATCAGATCAAAATTACGCGTCAAACATGTAAAAGTGGTAGACTGACATCCTGGGTTTATCGGCTTTGCCCAGTCGCCATTATACGAAGTGTGCGTTTCAAAACATGTAAAACTAGACAGACATCCTGGGTTTTCGGCTTTGCCCAGTCGCCATTTTACGAGGTTTTCGTTTCAAAACGTGTACAAACTAGTCTGACATCCTGGGTTTTCGGCTTTGCCCAGTCGCCATCACAGGAGATATACGCACTAAACGATGTAAACCTAGACTGACATCCTGGGTTTTTTCGGCTTTGCCCAGTAGCCATCAGACGAAATTTACGCGTCAAACGTGTAAAAGTTATAGATTGACATCCTGGGTTTTTCGGCTTTGCCCAGTCGCCATTATACGAAGTTTTTCGTTTCAAAACGTGTACAAATAGTCTGATATCCTGGGTTTTCGGCTTTGCCCAGTTGCCATCAGAGGTGATTTACGCACTAAATCATGTACCTATAAACTGACATCCTGGGTTTTTCGGCTTTGCCCAGTGGCCATCAGATGAAAAATACGCGTCAAACATGTAAAAGTGATAGACTGACATCCTGGGTTTATCGGCTTAGCCCAGTCGCCATTATACGAAGTGTTCGTTTCAAAACATGTAAAACTAGACTGACATCTTGGGTTTTCGGCTGTGCCCAGTCGCCATTATACGAAGTTTTCGTTTCAAAACGTGTACAAATTAGTCTGACATCCTGGGTTGTCGGCTTTGCCCAGTCGCCATCACAGGAGATTTGCGCACTAAACCATGCACGTATAAACTGACATCCTGGGTTTTTCGGCTTTGCCCAGTGGCCATTAGATGACAATTACGCGTCAAACATGTAAAAGTGATAGACTGACATCCTGGGTTTATCGGCTTTGCCCAGTCGCCATTATACGAAGTGTTCGTTTCAAAACATGTATAAACCTAAGCTGACATCCTGGGTTTTCGGCTTTGCCCAGTCGCCATCAAAGGAGATTTGCGCATTAAACCATTTAAAGTAGACTGACATCCTGGGTTTTTTCGGCTTTGCCCAGTGGCCATCAGACGAAATTTACGCTTCAAACGTGTAAAGTTATAGATTGACATCCTGGGTTTATTGGCTTTGCCCAGTCGCCATTATACGAAGTTTTCGTTTCAAAACGTGTACAAAAAGTCTGATATCCTGGGTTTTCGGTTTTGCCCAGTCGCCACCAGATGAGATTTACGCGTTTAAACACCCCACAAAAGGACAACACCTAAAACTTTCAAATTATGGGGAAAAACAAAACTTGGCATAAAGCAAACATAGTCACGATCTTGGTTTTGATGCATTTTAGCTGCATGTGTTCTCTGAACTATTCTCCTTGTCTCTGACTGCTTGTGGCTTTGCCTGAAGTTGGACGTCCCTTCTAGGGTGCTTATGGTCTAAGCCTGCACGAGCTCTTGTTTGCATGCCTCTCAGCTGCCTTGGCATTTCGAGCCTGAACTGGGTCTCTGACCTGTCTTGTTTGCACACTACCCCTGCAACACAGAGGTATGGAGCCCCCCCGGACTATATAAGCCGGGGCGACATTAACACACTGGACTGGTTTTAAGAATTGGAGCTGGTTCCAAATTGGTCGCGTCGAATCGTGCGGATAGTTCGTTCTGCAGGGTTTTAACTTAAAAGATTTGGCAATTCCTACCTGGTAGACCTTGTCAAGGCTGTATCCAAGAACGCAAGGTTGAAGAGGTCGAAAAGGTCGAAGCGGTCGTGAAACCAGATTTCAAATTGCAGTGCAACAGCAAAAAATCGCTTGCTGAAAATGGATAACGGAATAGAAAACAAACAGCGCATGAACAGAACCGAAGTCAACAGTTTTAACCAGTTTTAACCAAGCAGGTACACAACTGAGCGTCCTCAGTTGCTTCCCCTTCAGTGACACAGCTTCGTTGGGCAAGGTAGTCACTGAAGGCCTTGCCCCCCTGCATGTGTAGTTAACCATTCCCTGTGCTAGAAGGGTTTACACACACACACACATATATATATATACACATAATAACATGAAATAACTAGTAAACCATCACTGTCCATTTGCTAGCCATCCTAGCTCTTCAACTTCCATAAACGTCTCTAATCAGTGAACCACGTCCAATTCAGAAGAATAAACAGTGTCAAAGACAGGCACGGGCTGCTTCCTATAAGGCAGTCAACAATGGGAAAAAAAACAACAGACAAGTACCAGCAAAAAAATGTCTCCTCATATGACATCCAGAATGAACCTTCATCACGTCGAACAACTCCAATGCGCTTGGAGAGCTCTGGGTTCTCTGCCCACTTGCCCGAAGCAAGGCCTTTGTTGAAGATGTTGTAGTCTGCCCAGTCACCTTTCCATTCTCCGCTTCCCCAAGGATTGGCCAACTGGACCAATCTCAATGGCTGTCCGTTGTCCATCTTCTCCGAAGTCACCTACGCTGTGGAATATGGCAGTGGTGCCAGCATCATCCAAAGCTCCAAACATGTCAAAATCGGTGAAAATAAGTTTGAATCCGCCGGGTTTGCTCGGGCATTTGATGGAAAGTTGTGTCATGTTATGTCTAGGTTCAGCTCAACTTGTAGATTTTCCATTTCTGAAGCCCCTTCCCCATCCCCAACCAGGAGAACAGCGTAGCAAATCTAGCAAGACGACAGAATACAAGCCAACACAAGCAAACGTCATCAGTTCAAAAGGATGATGTGACATTCTGAAAACATACATGATACGCAGTAGATACAGATATGTTGAGCGCCTTACTGGTTTACATGCAAGCTTCCTAGAAACTGACTGTAGCACATCAATGCGACACATCTCTCCCTCTAGATCGAGGAACTACAAACATGATAATGCGTCAATATATCCATGCTAATGCAGTTTTAAGCAATTTTGCAGTTTCATCCACAGAGAGGAAATGCTGTTGCCAAGAACCAAGAGTCTATAATAAAGTAGTTGAGTAGTTGAGACACATCTTTCCATATTTCCCCCGTACAATTGCCACAGTGAGCTGCAAAAAAGGTACACACGCAAGTCATGTTTGCTTCACAAGTTCCGCATCGAACTGCAATAGATGTGCACGCGCAAGTCATGTCACTTCCACCCAGGGACAACCTTGGACAAAACATCGTGTATGGCAAGAGAAGTTTACGCCCATTCTCTTGCCCTACTCCTCTCTTCCATCTTCCCAGCCGACATATTCCCACTATTTGCAATCACCCCCTCGGAACCTCCCAACAATCCTCTTTCCCAATGATTGACTTATTGACTCTTCGTAACTCTCTTGGTGAATGTTGGTTGAAAAACTTAACAACAGTGAACACTCTCCATTCAGCACGGAACCCGACAGACATGATGATGCCATTTTGAGGTTTCATCCGCAGAGTTTTTACTAGTTTAACATCTTTCCATATTTCTCCCATACAAGTGCCGCAGTATGCCGCAGTAAACTGCAAAAGGCTCTGCACGAACACACTTCCCAGGGACAACCCTGGGCAAAGCACCTTCTGTCTGCCCCCTACAAATCATCTGCCTATTCTTTTCCCTTCTCCCACCTTCCCAATCGACATACGATCTCCCCAATCGACATATTGCCCACCACCTTTTAATCCAAACCCCCGAATCATTCCCCTGAAACCCTCCCATCAAACTGAAACCAAATTTCGGCAGTTCCCAAAGAGGATTCCCCGGGTATATATATGATTATATATGTGCATGTATAAACGCAGCATGCACATGTAGAAATCCATAGAAATCCCATATTCAATGGCATGTTCCCCGGCTCCCCAGATGCCCATGCGAACTGCAAAGTGCTAGCGGGGCCTGGAGCAAGGCGTAGGCGTGGTGTACCACGAGCCCATTCTTCAACCGCGCCTCCACCCCCAAGTCTTTGCGATCAATGGAACAAGCCAAAACCTGGCGCTTCAGAAGTGACTCAGACAAGCATTTCGCTGGGCCAGGGTGGCCAGGTAGATATTCATGGGGGTATCGAGCTAACAGGCAGGTGGCCCTTGTCTGCAGTCAAAGGCACAAGTTACATCCGGAAAGTCAGATGTAGCACTCTACCGCCAATAAATGAGAAAGAAGGTATGCTTCAGCGAGGAAGCCCCGGAAACAAACAAAAGGAGAGAAACTCAAACGAGAAGCATGTTTGTCTTCGATGTGAGTCTTGAGAAACTTGAACAAGTCTTCCGTATTATATCTGCTTCCCCAGCCACAATACACCATTCGCATGCTTCGAGGGTTCCTTGCATCTTCTTTGCTGTCAGGTTTTTTGACTGCGCATTTGCGCCAGTGCTTGCCCTCGTTCAAGAAAAAGATGAGATCGGACTTTCCTGTGAGGACCTGGAATGCCCAGCCAGGGTAGCCAGAATTTAGAGCCCCATAGCTACCGCAGAACTTGGCCAAGGCCTTTTCCAGCAGCATGACCCAGAGTTCGTTGCCCAAGGGCCGTGCAAAGGTGGGACAAGGTCTTCCATCTGTCACGGTGCAGGGCAAGAACTCATCCACTTCAACCTGGCACCACTTTTTTTCAAAGAGGTCGTACAGCCATACCTTGTACCTTGGAATCTATTGGCATCCATTGGCATCCGTCATTTCCAAGTCTTTAAAGGTATATATATATATATGTGTGTGTCACACACACATGATATATATATATTTATATATATATATATATCATAAAACATGCCTCATGCAGAGCTCTGACAAGAAAAAGAACCCGATGTCCGACACCTCTGTACCTGATCAGTTTCGAACCACTCACTTGATAAACTCTTCTTGCGCTAGAGTTGGTCAAGTATCTGATATCTATCGTCACTATCGTCCATAGGTTCGTTGATATCCCAAGATATCTAGAGATTCGAGAGATCTCTAGACATGAACGGCCGTGAAGTATGAGGTCATTGAGAGGTCAAGGTACTTGCCATCATGCGACAGGTGCCTGCCATCAAAGAGGCTCTTCAACTTGTTTGGATGTGCAGCCAATGAGCCCAAGGCACACATCAGCCAGCAATCTCCAACCTCAAACAGCCCACGACTCATGAAAGTGTTCAGCATCTTTCATGGAACACTTTGCTAACACCAATTTGCAAGAATCATCAATCCATAAACTATCAGCCTTTGGCAAGGATGACCTTGAACAAGTGGCATATAGCAGCTATTGCCAACCATCAGTAATTCCTAGAATGGCCATCAATAATCATCAAGACAGCTATTTGATGACAATTCATCTTCCTAGCGATAGTGGAATCAGTAGAAACATCATTGAATCATAGCACCCACACTCTGCTTCTTACCAAGTGGCACTTCCTTGCTGCACTTCATACGGTCGCACGCGGTCAAACAGCACAGCTGAGCCCGGATCACCCAGCATCCTGGCGCGCATCCAAAACTCCGTGTTGCCCAGGTTCAGGGTGCGGTTGGGATCAACGATGCTGGAGTTGTCATGCAGGAAGCTTGCATCTTTGAAAGCCTCGAGTGCCATGTGCTGAGTTTTCTATCGTCTTCTTACAAGCCGAAACTCGGCGAATGCAAACGATTTGCAAAAATCTCTGGGACTAGTCTCACTGGCCTGACTACTGTGTTCTGACTATAGATATTATAATCCGACCAATGACTCTGGAGCAATGATACCTGCTTCAGCAACTCCTGGGCAATCGACGGCTGAACTGCAGCACAAAAAGGAATTATCTAAAAGTCCAGGAAGAAATGTACGGTCGAAAGTTGCACAGGGTGCCAAAACGTTGAAAGGGGTGCAAAACGATGCGTTGAGTGATGCACATTGACTCAGAAACGTTGGGATCATCTTCAATGCCACTTGCATCGCTGCGATAGGACACTTGCAAACGATACTTGTAGGGCTCAGTGAGGTGCAAAAGTGTCATGCTCTTTGTCTCGCCTGGTTGCACCACCACTTCAGCAGGATTTCCCTTCGGGAAGCTCACATTTTCGCAGTTTACAAACTGTAGGGTGAATACCTGGCCGACTGCCCCAGATGTGTTCACGAAATTCACCTCTACAGTCTTCTTTCCATCTGCCACGGCTACATGTTCCTTCCACATGGGCGGATTTGTAGTGAGCCATTGAATGAACTCATGGGTATGGACCACGCCATCTCGATTCCCATCAGCCTGCTGAAACCAATCTTGAGCACGCCCCTCCGGAATACCAAGCACTCGAGACAAAAGAATCGTCATTTCATCTTCTGACATGACACCATCTCCTGGCGAGGCCTGTTGGCCATGGACCCATCGGACCTATCCATCCCACCACAGTGTGCAAAAAACACAAAAAAATGCCGCACACGTCACAAGTCGGCAACCATCCCTGCTATCGTACTGCCTTGAACTCCACCAGAATGCATCAATTATAAGTCAATGGCTGCGTCAATGAGTCATGTCATGTTTCAGAGGCTGTGTGATCAGAATCCCCAACCCTGCAAAATGAATTTATATGAATCTTATCGTGGGGCCGGAGCAATCCATAGGAACTAGTTGGATCTAGTTGGATCTAGTTGGATACACCCAGTCGCGTACCACCAGCTTTGAACATGGTCCACTTCCGTCTGCATCAACGGTCTCCTGAAGTGTCGTATTTTTCGAAGAGTTCTTGCAAGCGCTTCCGTGCCGCAGCCATGGCTCATCAGCCAGCTTTCCGCAAGTGCCTATTATTTCACTTGGTTCCACAGAGATGTTGCAAGTTTCAAGTGAAATGCCTTCACCACATTTCCAATTGAATTCCACGCCGCCTCTTTTAACGCTAGCAAGCACGCTTTCACATCCAAGAATGCCTTGATGCATCTTGCAGCACGTGAAAGGATGCAGAAAAAGTTCTTTGCCTGCAGGGTACTATCAGTCACCCTGCAAGCTGCTACTGAACATCATCACGCCAACCAAATACAATCTAAAATTTCAATCTAGAATCTAGAAATGTCTAGAATCCAGAAATTACATGAAATTACCAAGAATTCCAATAATTTTTTGTTTGATCTGTCTGTGACCTTCCCGAGGCGGCTCGGTGATTTTGTGACCTGGCCTTGGGCTAATCACGAGTCATCACGAGTCAAACAGCTTCGCCAGCATCGACAGATTTGAGTCTGGCGGTAATCGTTCGCGCCAAGCCTCGCAAAACACATGCGAAAACTATCCTGCTACTGCAATGTCATATCAGAAGGGTTCGAAGGAACACAACTTCCAGGCAACAAGGAAACAACGCAAACAAAACAGCAAGACACATGCTTCCAAAGAATCATTGAGCAAAGTCCTTGCATGTCTGCCTCAACAATGTTATCCAAGCTTTTGCAAAACTACTGGTATGCTGGCCAGCACCGGCCTTTGGACAGTACTCCATAGCAAACTGCTCGCAAGAAGTTGATACACCATCTGAGCCAGGACCTCCGCTCCTGAGTCATGCTCGAGCCACGGTCAAATGTCGTCAGTATGTCACTTATAATCCCACACACACACAGATATATATATATATTATATTACACGTTCGGAAACATGCTGTCCAGAACCTGTCCAGCACTTTGATAATAAACATGATAATCATGATCATCATCATTGAACTAACACAACACCAATCAATCATATGAATCATATATAATCATATGATATCATATGTATGTTACTTCTTGTTCCGTTTCCATTAACTAGTGTTGTTGCGACGAGTTGGGAAGGTCTGTTTGTGAGCGGTGTTTGTGCCAACATGTGGATTGATGTGGCATGTATGTGGCGTCTTGGCTGCATCCTTCGATGCAAGTCGTGGAGGTGTTGTCTGCTTTTCGTAATGTTGCCACCGGTGTAAGAGAAAATAACTGCAGCTCAGGAGCTCTCTAAAACCCAAGCTCAACCTAAAGGCTGTAAGCTGGGGCTGCGCAAGGCGAATAACTTTGTGATGCGGTGATGCGTGTTTCTGCTGATGTTCGAACCCACAATACGTTTCAGCTTTCAACACTGGAGCATGCTGGAATCCTCTTCGCATGTAAGGTCGGATTGCAGTTAGAGAAAGGCTGCTACACAGCCTCTTCACATCTCTTTGAGGTGCCCTTACAATACAAAGTTTGAATTTGAGATTCGGCACAAATAGTTCAAGAGCTTTCCAGAGCCTCAGGGATCATTTTCTGAGGGCAAAAGGACGTCAATTCTTGGGATTCTAATACTTGCAGTTAGAAAAGCTGCCATCTCAATGGGTCTTTGTTGAACAGCATTCCTGGGGCAAAAGCCATTGTCCATGACTGTGAGCTCCAGGATTTCTGTACCAAACCATCGTGCCATAGCCGCAGTGGAACCAAGCAAAGCAGCCTGCACGATTCTGCATTACATGTCAAGCTATGCAAAGAAGCGACGCATGATAATTCCAGCTGGCTTTGGTATTACTAAGTGGCGGACAAAATTACTTACTAGCCGCAATGGGCATGGCCAAAGTGGGTGGCCCCCTATCGGTTGTGAAGGTTTGTACTTCCATGCTATGTGTAAAAATATGTGAAAATAGGGTATCGGTAAGTGGGTGGCCCCCTATCGGTTGTGAATGTTTTCGCACAAGTTTGAACATCCCATGTCCACTCCCCACTACTTTAGTCTTCCGCTAATTTTGTCGGTTACTCGTATGGGCTTCGACAGGTTATAGCTTCTACTCGGTACTGACCCCATCCGTTTAGACGAAAACTCACCGAACCAAGCAGCTGCAATGGTGACCTTTCCTTAGACAAGTTGACAATGCACATTGATCTCTCAGAGCAAGCGCTGCAGCAATGGTAAACAGCTGGGTTGTGGAGGAAATCTGAATCGTCCGGCAATTGCCACTCTATGTATCTCTATGTGGCAAGAGTCTGTCACTGTCACTGCCAACGCTGCCATCCAGCAATCGGCCCCGAACAGAAGCATGTGCTGGCTTAGAGCCGCTGCTGCCAATCCAAATCCTTTGCGGGTTTGCAACAACATGCAACAACAATGATGTGCAAAGCAGCCAGTCATGGAAACCTTGTGCTCCTCTGCTCCTCTGCTCCCCCTCCTCATCCTCATCCCCATCCCCATCATCATCTGTCTCAATCTTTGACACCAAGCTGCACTCGGACACTTCGCTGCTTCAATCGACACACCGCCCGGCAATATGCTAATTCACCTTGTGGCCGTCGAAGATGTGCAGAAATTGTCACCTGCGCACATTGCAGTGAAAAAACTCAGCAAATTGCGCAACCAACCCCAAAAAGTTGCTGAACATTTTTTGTTCAAGTCAAAGAGTTTCGAACGGCTTACTAAATGCAAACAGATTATGTAAATTCTTCTCGCGCTACTGTCTTCCACCTTCGGGTTGGCGTCATCAGAAAGCCAAGAAGTCCGGATTTGCAGCTCGGCACACGGAGGCCAGTCTACTCTCCATTGCCACCTAAGACAGCACGCGCACAAATCCCAAATCATCTGAAAGCCTCCATGGATTATTGATTTATATATATATATATTTATTTATATTGATTTTCTAAATATTCTCGAATATTCTTGATGCATCCCATTGCATCCCTGATCATCCATGTCTGAATTGTTGAAAGTTCAGACCACACAGATCAGGTATTGTATTGGTCACGCATTGATTGCTCCTTTGCCCCTGAGCAAGCGTTCAACGTCCACTAGCAAAGCGTAGCACCAAACAGCAGCATCGGCACATGTCTGGCGCTCCCATGAGGTTGACAATGGAGCTCAAGCTTGGTCTCTGCATGGAGCCTTGGGCGAGTCGCGTCGCCGCAGCGCAACTTTGGGATCATCACAACCAAATCCAACCAAATCCAACGAAATTCATCCAAATCCTACATCACCAATAGATCTGTGCAATGAAGAAGAAAAGTCAGAGACGGCGTTGCTACCCAACTTGTCAAGTATACTTGTGCTTCGAGCCTTCCATGATTGTATCTGTGCTTCTCAGTCTCCAGCTCACAAAGGATCCAACGGCATGCAGAGTCATTGTTAGTGAAGTATAGTGAAGTGATGTGAGGTGATATATACCAATTATATCCAATTATTACCTCTCCATGCGAATTACTTCACATCTCCGGCCGCATGATATGCTAATGTGAGCGTGTGCTAAGATGTTGGGATCTGCTGAAACACACGCACACACACACACACACATTTCAACTCGGTTGGCTCAATCTGCGGCTGTGTTGCCCCACAACCACGACCAAGCGTTGAAGTCCGCCAAGGGTAGCTTTGCGATCCAGCTCTGAGGGGCGAAGGCTGAAATGTGAGCAACCGGGGCTTCCATACCTCAAGCACGACAAATATCGACAAATGCATAACAAATGGACAGCCACATTGAACATTCGCATGCACCCTTGAAGTGCGGTAATTGGAAGACCCACTCAAGCCAACTGAAACAATCTGAAACAAATAGATTTCAGTATGGGGGTCCCGTTGCTCGTGATCCCGCGATGGCGACCTTCCCATCTCTCCCTGCAAGTGAAAGTTGCTGAGCTCGCCCAAAACTGGGCGATCAGTGGTGCCCCTGAAGCCCAAGTCCAGGTAGTACCTTGACGGGTCTACCAGCTCTCCGCGTGGTATAGGAAAGGAACCACAAATTAGACTAAGCCTTGGTCCGTGAATATGTTTGCCTACTTGCAGGCGCTTGCACCTGCTTCTGCAATTCTATGCAATACTAGAAGTAAGAATGCACACAAATGACGCGACCAAAAGAAAAAACTCTCGAACTGATCCCAAAAAAGGGCTTCAAATGGCTTCAGCAGATTGTGGCTCTCCACGGATGGACAAGCTACTGGATTAGTTTTTGTGAACCTTGATCTTCTGCACCAAGTTCCACTCTGGCCATACCAAAAGACTCCTGGCTGGATGGCTCACGTTTCAAAAATGCATTGGATGTGGGCTCCTGAAACAACATGTCAAAAATATTTAGACATACTAAGACCACGTCCACACCAGCATCATCAAAACAACAAAACACGACTGTCTGAAAATCCGAGTTCATGCAGCACCTTTGAACACTGAATGCGAGCCAAGCAGCTCCAATCGTTGCCAAAATACTAAGGAGGGCCTGTAAGCAGCTTTGTTTGACTCACTGGAACGAGCTACGGCGACGGCTTGTATCATCTTGTATCCCGCTATATCCATCTATATCCCGCTTAAAGATTTCCAAGCAGCCAACCAGGCTGCAACGCTCCAGGTCCGACCACGCCCTTTGTCCAACCCTTCTGCAGCTGTTCTCAAAGTATCTCAAAGTTGTTTTTTCAATCTGCCTGTGGAATCGTCCATGGCCGTTTGGCTCTTGAAGGCCGCGGGTGCTCCTCGTCCACAAGACGAACACTGGGGCATCAGTCCAGCATCAGTCTTGAGAATGTCGTGAGTCGTGAATACCGAATCTGAGTCACTGAGCAGTGAAGATCCACTCCATATCATGCCACAAACCACTATAGATCCCCAAAGGGCCAAAAAGAACCTCTTCGTGCAGAATGTGGATGTGTATGTATGTGTAATGGTTACATGTTTGCACACATGTTACAGCCTCTATCAAACGCCACTTGTCTTCAGGACACTCGCGACAGGACTTCGCCCGACAAATCCTCAGCTGACCAAGGGGTCAGCTTCACATGCCTTACATATGATTTTTTGAAAAAATTAGATATAACTGTGGCATACCGTGGATGACATTAAGCGATGCTGCTAGCGAATAGCTTAAAACAATTTAAAACGCGTTTGATGCAAGCGAGATGCCAGTGGACGTGGATGGCACTGCGAGTGTTCTTGGGACATACCTGCGATTCATCGTACGAACCCACGCTCCAGTGGTGTCCAGCTGGGCTCTGCTCAGGTTGAGACGCTTCCACGAGCTTCTGCCAGCTGAGTACCATCCGGTCCTTCTACCCACACCTGAGATGTCTCGTTGGCCGAATGAAAACACCTGAACAGTGCCTGCTTGCAACACAATCAAACACACTAAACGCAAATAAATGCAAATTGCGGGTGCACAAATGGTTCCCCAATGTTTCCCATGTCCTGTTCCATCCTCTTCCACAGTATCACTTCAGAAATGAACTTGTTCCAAGGCGCATGAATCGCACATCGCGGGATAGCATTGTGTCCAAAGGATTCTGCGACCCTGCGCTTCGAGAGTGGTACTAGTGACAACCCCAATGGTGCCCATTCCTGGGCGGCCCATGCTTCTGTGCAGTGGCGAGGCACTCAGCCTTTCCATGACAAGTTATGCCAACTTATGGGTTCCAGCTCGCAAAAACGCGCCTGATCTTCCCCCTTTTATATCCTTTTATCATCTTGCCATATCTTGCCTATTTCCTGTTTTCTCGGATATTTTTCTTGATGGTCCTCTTGGATCATTTGCTGCCTGATGGTATTCCATGGTATTCCTATACTCTCACCTTTCGGCTGTTCATACCACGGTCTTTGGCCGGCAGGTTGCAGTCTCACAAATACAAATTCTAGTGACAACCCCATGGCCATGGTGCGCGTCTGGATTTCGATATGGATATGCCAAAACGTTTCCCTGACCTGCCAACTAATTGCTCCACAAATAGTCACAAATCAGGTACCTGAAGGTCATTGGTAAATCATGGTAAATCTACATATTTACATCCGGCTCAAAGCCGAAAGGGCCTTGACTTTTGGGACCCAGCGGAGAGCTTCACATGCAACTTCAACTCCAGCACTGCGCCTCAGCAACAAGATCAACAAGGTCCACCAAATATGAAATTGACACACTGGCATCACTGGCACTCCTTCTAAAACTTGAAGGTGCTGGCAGGTTCCAACTGATACTTTCCAGGATGCGTCGCCATGATTTGTGATGTTGGAATGCGTGTGTTCGAAAGACTTGAGACTTCGTGTGCCAGTGCTCAATGGCTCTTCTGAAGCCAAACAATCTGCCCGGATCTGTCAAGCTGCTTCGCACGGAAACTTCCCATTTGAGAAGAGAATTGAAAGCCTGGGACAGGACAGGCCGTCAAGGCTTGCCAGAGGATCCTCATAGATTCTCAGAACATTGGCGGAATGAAATCACTCCTTGCCTCAGCTGGCTTAGTTGACTTCACAGGCTCACTGGCCACGGGCGCCACAGGTGCCACGGGCGCTACCTTCAGGCGGCTCCACAGCTTGGACGGCCTCACTCCATCTCAGTTCTCACATGTTCTCACAAATCACATTCACCTTGGCAAATGCATTTAGGCCTCGCTGAGTATGCTGAGTATCCCACCGTTCCTGGGCAACACAAGAAGCCCACGTTGCTTCGTCATTCCTGGCTGGCACATGGTGGCACGAGGGATGTCAATGACGGAGCAATTTCAGCATATATGTATATATATATAATTATATATAATATATCTCAAAACCCCAATTTCGAGTGTCCATTTAGATCCATTTAGTAACTTCTTTTCTGGGAAACAGTGCTTTGACAGAGCTTTGGCAGACATTCAAAAGCTGCCTCTGGGGCTGAGCATGTGACTCCCAAGCCCAGGCTTGCCGCGAGGGAAATTTCGCAGAGACTGCTGTGCTGTAGAGCTTTAAGGGCCTGAGGCAGTGGTCCGAAACTGGTTCACTCTGCGATGCAATCTTGACATTTGTTTTCCGGCTCCACAATTGGTGTTCCAATCAATGTGCAGGGTTTGACTGAACGGGAAGGCAAGTGAAATCATTGCTGCCTTATGTTGATCATGGCAGGCCGATGCTCCAACCAAGCACCAGCATGAGAGACTGAGAGTTATTAGTTTGCAGAGTCTTCACAAGTTAACTTTTCCTATTTCAGAACAGACGTGTTCAAATAGTTCATGCAATCACGTGTGAAGCGCACACACACATGTATATATATATATATAATTATAATATATATATATATATCTGATTATATATGCAGATCAGATTATCGAACATGATATGATATGACATCAACGTACAATCTAGCATCATGGGAAGCTGGATGCTCAATTTGGCCTGTGTCTGGCACTGTGTCTGGTGCAGTTATGTCAGCTTCTTATTCAGATTCAGAAATTGGCCCGTATCATGGGTGAATAAATGACTGGGACGTGTAATCGTGATCTTTGAGCATGAGAATGGCATACAAGATTAAATTAAGAGCAACTTTGAGCTCCGATTCTTGTGGCCTTGAAAGACATCACAGCTGCAATCCGCTGCATATGATACTGTGGTGGCCTCATCATGTTGCATCGTCCATGCCCAAACGCCAAAACAACGCTAGATTCGACCGCGGTCTGGCGGATAAGGGGGATGTTCTACCCGTGGTTGAATATTGAAAGATCACTTAAGATTGTGAAAGACCATGCAAGGATACCTATTTTTTAAAAACAACTTGGCAATGATATGCAAAGATACTGTAAATGTACGAAAAGAGCAAGTCACATCTGACAGCCTGCCCAATCTTTTTCATGTCAACAATGCCACCAGTTTCTGTACAGCGGAATGAGCCTACCACCATAGATACACACCGAAATCCAACATGAACAAATCTCGTCTTCCTTCTTGTTGCTGTCATGCTGTTTCTATGGAGGCTGGCGAGGCAGTTGCACATGGCTGTGCACACGCACGAAGTTCAGCTTCGCACGTCAGAGGCTCAACAGGTTTCACCCAGAAGATTTCGCATCACGCTGAAACCATGCAACCCGATCACCAACACATGAAAAATAGCGAGTTCACCTTTTCAGTTCAATGTTTTTTTTTCCAGAGATGGTTTTCAGAGTGACCTGTGGAAAGAAACCTACTGAATCCAGCACTGTTCAGGCAGAGCTTGTGTGTTTTTCAAGTCTCATCATGTCTATTCAGATTCATGTCTCATTTAAAGTTAAAAACACATCCAAGCAACACAAGCAAAAGTTGTGACTTGGAGGGCATCTTCTAAATCTTCTAACAAATTCTAACCATTTCATTACCATTTCTATATAACTCCTCGAACATCGAGACAGCGGATCCATGCGCCGCCTGTCACAGCTCAGCGATGGTCACCCCATTTTGTCTGAGCTCCTGCCGATTGCGATGAAACTGAAGAGATCCAAAGACGGTCCGTGTACACCAGAAATGTGCGACAGCACATAGTAGATGAAGAAACACATGTGTGTGGAAATAGTAGTAAGGAAAATTAATGTAATAATACAAAACGACACAATATGATAACACATCATTAGACTTCGGCTCTTCAGTACTTCCCGTTCGTCCATCAACTTCATACTGTTGGGCATTAGGCACAACATGGCGCAACACAACAGATGCGAGGGATCATGAGTCATGAGTCTTCACTGTTGCATCCTTCTCTAGCTGTAATCGTGCAAGGCCTTGCATGCCCGATATCCTCAATGACACGCTGGCAGTAGCCGTCATCTGGAAATCCAAATCGCTCTGGACCTCCCGAGATTGCCTGAAGGCAATGTGTTGGAGAAAGACGGTCAGTTTTGGGGAGATTCTTAGAATCTCTCAGAATCTCTCAGAATCTCTCAGAATCTCTCAGAATCCCTTAGAATCTCTCAGAATCTCTCAGAATCTCTCAGAATCTCTCAGAATCTCTCAGAATCTCTTAGAATCTCTTAGAATCTCTCAGAATCTCTTAGAATCTCTGAGAATCTCTCAGAATCTCTCAGAATCTCTCAGAATCTCTTAAAATCTCTCAGATTCTCTTAGAATCTCTCAGAATCTCTCAGAATCTCTTAGAATCTCTCAGAATCTCTCAGAATCTCTCAGAATCTCTTAGAATCTCTCAGAATCTCTTAGAATCTCTCAGAATCTCTCAGAATCTCTCAGAATCTCTCAGAATCTCTCAGAATCTCTTAGAATCTCTCAGAATCTCTCAGAATCTCTTAGAATCTCTTAGAATCTCTCAGAATCTCTCAGAATCTCTTAGAATCTCTTAGACTCTTAGACTTCAAGCGCAATCAAGGCGCTGTCTTGAGGTGAATGTTGAAAGCGGGCCAATACTTCTGGTCCGTCGCTGAGACACGAAGGTCGAAAAGCACACGCCGCCTGGAAACAAGTTGCGCTTGCACTGGCATGGCATTGGTTTGACTTAAATAAGTGTTTTAATTTGTCGTTGGTTGATTTAAGGCCGATTGGTCACATCATCAAATCTAAGTGATTCTGTGGAAGGCCTGAAAGCAAGCTGAAACAAGGCCAACAGCAGCCTCAGTGGGAAAACCTAATGGGAAGCCTTCAGAGACCTGGCCAACATATAGTGAAAACACAGGTGAGTGCGAGCAGCCCTGTACGGTGTGACTCCCTTCGACTCACTTGTTGCCCAAGCAGCTTTCCACTCTCATTGTGGGGCAAATAGGCTTGCCTAAAAAATTGCACGGCCCTTTTTCATTGTGATGTGCAGAACAGATGCACGCACCTTTCAGATTTTTTGAGAATCTGCAAATATCTGCGATGTGACTGCGGTGCAGAATGTGCAGCTTGGTCACTGCGATCGTCCCCTGTAAGACCTCAGCTCTGTTGCATGCAAAACCAACTTGGGATCTCATTGCTTCCTGTCCTCTCTTTTTGCTGCGAGCATGACTTGCTGAACCGTGAGCACTCACGAGCTGTATGCGCTCGCAAAGTACTTGCCATTCACAATTTGCTCCTTATTTGCACCTGGACAAGTGCGTCATTTCAGAATTTCTGCCAAAGGCTCTCTCCATTTGAATCTCTCCCTCCCGGAAAGCGGAAGGTCAGCACAATGGTGAAGCTGTCCTTAGTTGCATTCTCCATCACAATCGCCTCTCGAAACAGCAGCAATTCGGACCTTCACGAATGTCTCTTCAGATCTCCCAAGGTGCTTCTCTGAACTGAAGAAATATGAAGACATTAAAAATTGGTTTTGCGACAAAGAGGCTGGATGTCCAGCAAGCCGCACACGGCTGTCAAGTCGCCAGCTCATGGTGCCCACGCTGGGCCTCAGAGACTGCCGGAGGCTTGGAAACAGTTCCGAAGTTTCAAAGAACTGATCTGCTGCCCCAAGATTTGCAAAGTAGATCCGAGAAGCTGGTTGCCAACCAAATGGCCAAAGCGTCGTTTGCAGGTCGGACATCGCCTGCGAAGAATGATCTGTCATATCTTGTCCAAAGCTCTCCGGAGATTTCCAAGAGCAAAGATTCGGTGAAGCACTGGAACTATACAGCGCTCACTTTCTTTGTCATGCCCCATGTTCGAATGATTTGTCCGCTCCACATTGTTCTGTAAAAAAAAAATCCACCTGATTCTTCAAACCACGGCCTTCTCTCTTCGAACCAGCGCTCCAAGCAGCTCTCATGAAAGCAATGGCCACAGTCAAGCCTCATTTTCGTTTGAAAAGTGTGGGGGAAAACTCAGCAAAGCAATTTGACAAACTAGTCTGCCCTGGGACAAGGACTCCAGTACTGAGGGGCACCGCCTTCTGCTGACAAGCTCGCCTGAGTCCAAGCACCATCTGATTCACCCAAGCCATCATGGGCAACTCACGACCAATTTTGTTTATCAATTTTCATCAATTTTGTATCATCATGCTTTAGCCAAGGGTCCAAGGCAAATGCCACAGGTACAATCTGGTTGCCTTAGCTGAGATGAATATTGAGTTAAATTATGGGTCTCGTGGTGTTTTGACAATTGTAATCAATCTACTGAATGTGAAACCATTGGAACATGTCCAGCCATGTTGCAGCTGCTCTGCATCTACACTGCGGCCACAGTCCTTCACGGTTGGGCAGGAGCCAAGGTCCAGGTCTGCAGGAAGGCGAAGCTCACCTATGGCTGCATCCTCTAAGTAGCTGCAGAACATTGCAGAACTATGTGCTGCATACCACGGGCAACAAAAAAAATCAAGCGATGTGCAACTTCCCGACTCACTTCATGTCACTTCTGGCCTTCCCTGACTGCAGGGAGTCTCAAGCGAACCTTGGTCTTGCCATCGGCAGTCCTCTCCTCACCTTATGCATGGCATGCACTGGGAGGAGTTTCTGAAAGATATGGAAGGGCATAACTTCTAGTGCACGTTGCTCAAGTCAGAGAGCAACTTCCAATGGGCATGTTGGATTTTTCGACCCATGAAGTGGCAATCATGCGGGCACGTCACCGCAATCGGCTGCAGATACAAGTGCCGCGAGATTCACTTGAATGTTGCCACTGCCTCAGCCACAGCCACCCCTGGTCGGGAAGCAAGACTGCAGTGACAACTGGCGTGACAACTTGTGGGGTGGGCGCTCAGCCAAGCAATTGGTAGCCCTACGGTTCTACAGTCTCGTACTCTAAAATCTACGCAAAATTCTGCATTCTCTCCAAGTGGCCGTCCAAACGAGCAACAAGGCTAGCAGCTTCGCCGTCCACATTCCCAAGGGATCTGCAAGGGGCAATGAAGCATGGACGCTGCCAGATTTCGGATGCAGCTGATCAACCATCACCCGAGCCTGGGGCAAACGCCCATTTCTGCTAGAGTTGCCAGAGCCTGGCGCCTTTCACTATCAACCATGACTTCAGTGCCTGAGTCTGCCCGCTGCAGGTAATAGAAAGAACAGTCCCCTCGGTTCCTCAACACATTCTACAAAATCTACAAATGACTCAGGCTCAAGGATCACCAAGGGCCCTGCATGGAAGATCCGAAACGTGTGGGTTTCACAAAGGTACATAGGACGGGGAAGGGGGGGTAGGATTTCTTTAGTTGTCCCAGCCATGCATTTCGGCCACCGCTTTTCATCTGAAACCTTCCTTAATCCGAAGCCACGCCAAACCTGTGCCTGCAGAAACCTATCACTGCTAGAGTGTGGTGAGCCCCGGCTACTTTTCAATAATTTCCTCTCTTCTCCCCTCCAAACCTTCCCAAACAGCACCAACACAACTGTCACAACTGACTGCCTTGCTTAAAGCCAATGGTTTTCAGCGAGGCACTGCCCGTCCATTTTTCTTGATTTTTGGAGGTTTGGGGAGGAGAGGCTCCGAGGAGTGGAAGGAGAGGAGACGAGAGGAAAAGGAGAGGTAGATGAAAATCAGTGAAAATCAACAGCTTGGACCAACCTACTGTACCCCCCCCCCAAAAAAAAAATCCAAAAAGCAATTGAATTGCAAAATGAGTCCCGCCCCCCCTCTGATTTCGAAATCGGGGCTAGGGGATATAAAAATACAACCCTGTACTGTACGAAGCTGACTCGCACACACCCACAGTTGCATAATTAGTGAGGAGAGTAGTTGATCATGGTTGATATCAATGTCTATGTCTTTCCTGGGTCCCTGGCAGTCATCTTCTCGTTGAAGCGCGCCTCGCAACTCCGCCTGGTGTGCCTTGCAGCCATGCATCATTCCTTTCACATCAGTCAGAATCTTGGTATTATATGTATATATAATTATATGTATATATGATCCCATCTTCTGACCGCGAGGCCGCCCCCCGCAATGGTATGGGTCCCCAGGTAGCACTACTCCTACTCCTACTGCCACTCCTACTCCTACTCCTACTCCTACGCCTACTCCTACTCCTACTCCTACTACTACTACTACTACTACCACTACCACTACCACTACCACTACCCCCCCCACCCACCCACAGGGGGGGGCGGGGAACATAGCTCCTGTATACCCATACCCATTGGGGTGGGAGGGGGGGGACCAGGGAGGGCTGGTCATATACGGTATTTGCCCGTTGAAAAAACCAACAGTCATCAAATCCCCCCTTTCTCTCTCATTACCAACTATGGAAAATGCAATGGACGCAGACTTTAAATGGACACGATACATTACCAACCAGCCCGAACAGTTCTGATACAAGTAAGTGTTGTGCAAACGAAAATGACAAAGCTTTGGCTGGGGCACCGAGGAAAATCCCAAAGACACGGCACGGCCATAAGTTTGAAGTGAGCAAACTCGAGGCAAAAAGCAATGTGCAAAAGTGCAACACACACACAAAAGCGCTAAGTTTGTTCAGTTGACCCTGGATGCTGCGTTTGCACCTCCGCATAGGCTATCCACTGTCCGTTTCGCAAGGCTTCAAACGTTGCACCACTGCTCCAGAATCCAGAACCTTGGTGGCAAGAGGGCTGCGTTTGACGTTGAAGTTGATCATCAGTCTGATATTTCTATCTCAACTCTCAACCATAAAGCAAGGGTGATGCTGATCATTTGCTACAGGCAGCTAAGATTGGACCATGTCACATCACACGTCATCACAAGTCATCACAGTCTAAGCAAAGCCGTGGAGCTACTGGAATACTGACCATTGCTCCGTCCCTGGATAATATCACCATCTGCCTTCAGCATAGGATCCGGTACCTGTACCTGGAGGTTGGCACCGGCAGCAACTGCCTGAGGAATATCTTCGATGTCATAGATAGCAATCCTCCAGTCTGGGTGCTCCTGTCAGACGGAACCGGCACAAGTCGCATTTTGCACCCAAGAGCTCAGCACACCTTTCCGATCTCAGTCAATTCAGTCAGGACATATCATGACCCAAGATGACCCAAGTTTGTACAAACCAATGCGCTGGTGACTTGGCAGTCTGCCTGGCTGAATTGCGTCAATGCAGCGAGATACCTCAGAACAAGCACTCACACTGTGCCCCAGACTTGACTATAGCCAGCAATTATAGGCTGAAAATAACCAATATTGTATATAGATGTATGTATATAGTATAATAATCGACTGCGGAGAATGCAAATGAACATGTCTTCTGAAGCACCTGCTTCGCCGGCTTTCTGCTCTAAGCTGCTCTGGCCATCTCCCACCTGCGAGGCCACAGCCAATGCGAGCTGGAAACGCCACGCTTGCACTCTGGAGGCTGCGAAAGAGAGCCTTGAGACCTGAAAGGACGATGCAAAGCGAATCAGCTAGTGCAACCTAATACCAGTATATTACTCAGATTTACTCAGTATATCGGAATATCACTTTGAAGTGCGTCAAGTCGTGCTGCTTTGGATAGGCAGTGGATGCAAGGCACAATCTTTAAACCAACGAAGGCGGTTGGAACGGGTGTCCTGGCCGTGGCTACAAAAGTCACTCAGCAAGTGTGACACACATATACACACATCATAAACACCCGGCATTCTTGTCCCATTGTCCCATAATCATACGCCAGAAATGGTCAAAGATGGTCAAAGCGAAAATGCAATCAAGTGCCATGCTGGGGAGCATGGTGCATCATAAATTTGGAATAAGACATCCCAGCAGAATTAAGATCACCGTGAATCTTCTGAATCTTCAATTAGTAACAAAAGATATCAAAAGTAAAAACAAACACTGGCATCGCTGGCATCTTACGCAAGAATAGCCGTTTAGCCTGCATATACCTGCATAGATTCGCATAGATTGTGGAGTCCTGAGCTGCCTGCGGTCCACCAACAAAGCGTGCAGTTGACCAACCACCGGGGGGTGCGTCATCTGCTGGCCGCCCTGGAAGCCTCAAAGTGCTCTGCAAATCTTGCAGGCTAAAGGCTAAACTATGACAGAACGCGTTGCTTCCTATCTCTGATCCGTCTGATCACCTCTCAATGCTGAGCGAGTGGCAGCTGAGAGTAGAAATTCACAATCCGGCCATGAATGCTCAGTGTGCCCGGTGGGTCATGTGGACGTCCTCGCTCCACACGTTGTCCTTTGCTGGTGCAGTGGCTACGCCTACATGGAAAGCATCCTCGGTCCTGCAGTCTCATCCGACTTTTGCTGGGTGCGCACTGGGCTTCCCCGTGTTGCTCCCAGGGGAATTTGCCGCATGTTTCTCCGTGTTTGTTCTGCGCACTTCGCAGTATCTCCAGAGGCTCACTTCACCCTTGGCGCAGTGTCAACCTGTGAAGATAAACAAAACAAAAAAAATCCAGAAGTGCCCTGTTCGACCTTTACTCCTACGAAGCATTGTCCAACATCACCAAACTATTTCCCTCGCTGTATTCACATTCCGAGGTCCAACTGGCACTGTGAAACTGGATCATCTGACATGTTCATTTGAATGAGCAAATATCTTTCGAAGCCACGCCATGTTGGCATGTCAGGACGGCACTACCGTCTTCACAGGAACCGAGCTAACGCGGAACATCTCTGTTTGCAGCATCTTGCTGCGGAAATACGGAGTCTGTGACATGGCAAACAGCCGGACACAGCCATTGACTTCAAAATGCAACGATTGTCAGCTCAAAGGCTCGTGAAAACCATGAGCAGTTCCATCTGCATCTAGAATCTAGAATCTAAATCATTCTGCACTCTGCAAACGATACCGATGTGTTTCGACGAGGTAGCTCTGTAGGAGCAACCGAATGGCAATCTTGCAAGTCCCTTTGCTTTTATTGTTTCAAGGTGATTCAAGACATCTCAAAAATATCCAAAGCCCCAACGTATCCAACGTCCAAACTCAAGGAAAGAAGCGGGAGATTGCAAGATGCTTGATCAGGACACTACTCAGGGTGGTCCTCCACAATGGAGATGGGTCGGATTTTCCGATAGAAGTTGACCTTGGATAGAGCAACATGCATCAATTTTTACTTTCGTGAACAGAAGTGTGAGAGTCCGAGTGTAGAAAAAACAAAGTAGGTCAATCTGAAATTAAACATATTAAACTCTCTTTAGGCTCCCTGTAGCCCGGTCAATCTGGTCACACGACCTATTGTTACCACAATTTTCGGTTTTTCCCGTATGATGAGCGACTGAAGACTTCTCTTTGGAGCGATCTGCTGACCTTCAGTTCTCCTGTCTCTTGAATTCAACGTCCAAGAGGCCAAAGGCGAGCCATCTCCTCCTGCAAAGCACGCCAAATACCACGGAATGAAGTCGGTGAACTCAACAATTCCTGAGGCCAAGAAAGAAATGCCGTTGTAAATCGTTGTAATATGTTGTAATGCTGTTGTACGTTTTTGTGCTGATTTCATGTGACTCGTACTTTTGGGAGCGATTTGAACATCTGCAACAAGCAGAACTTGATAGAAGACTCTTCAGACTCTTCAGCATGTTCGAAGATGCTGTGGTTGGATGTGGTTGGGCTAGTGTGAAACCTTGTGAATTTTTGTGAACCATGGCTGAATGAGGAAAACATAGGAAAGCCATGGAACACCTATCGACTTCAAACTTGTTGGGCAAAAATCACCAGTATGAATTGGAAACGGGATCGTCAAATGCCCAACTTTTACCACGGCAGCGCGGTATGACTCAAGGGCCCTAAAGCCAAATGTCAACGGGGCATGTGATCACTTGGCTATACAAAATATACATTAGACAGGTCAAACTCACACTCAACCTGTTCTTCAAGGATCACATGATGCTAGTGAAAAAAGTTGGCTCTAAGGCTTCTTCTGTACACGATAAATGCACTCCTTCAAAACGCGGATGATGAGGTCCGGGCGCATGCTCTTGGTCAGAGCATCCGAGACCATAGTTCCTGTAGCAATCCAGGTAACAATGTCTCCTCCGCCATGATGCATATCCCAGGTCCTCCGGCCGTCTTGCCAAAGTGACTCATGAATCGACTGCAACTCAATGCCGAGTCGTTTGTCTGCGACCCTGCCGAGTACCTCATTCGCAAGATGGTCTGTTAGAGACCTGCAGTCTGAAAGCATCAGTTGTGGAATACAGCTGCGGCTGTCATCCAACCATGTTTTCATCGAGTCAAGTTGGCCCATCAGTTCGGCCAATGCTCCACGTAGCTTGTCACCGCTCTCTTGTCCAGCCTGCAGTGAATAAGCTTCGCATTGAAGAGTGCTGCGGCATACTCGCCGAATTGTATTTGATGCAAATCCCAATGGCATCACCCTGTAGGATGTAGTCTTGGGGTCTTTGATCTCATTGATGTCTCCAAGAAAATGGAAACGTCCTTGTTGTGATTTGTAGTTCTTCTCGTTTGAAAATGAAGCATCTGTTACTGTAATGATACCAACCTCTCCCCAGGTTAGATGTCCACCTGGAAAAATGAGCTTGTTCTCAATGCCTTGTTGTGCCAGCTGTACTACGGCATTTGCGTCGTGCAAAATAGCAACTGTCGCTCCAGAAATACTGGACTGTAGGCGGCTCACACGATAACCCAAATCGGGTCTAGTCTGCCTTGCCACCCATGCCAATGATCCCGTTACAGATCGTAATCGGGTCACATCATCCTTACCCAACGGCTCGGACGCTGATCTTCCTGGCGCGATCTTGATCGGCTTGATGCGACGGGTGTTGTCACAAGTGTCTTGTGTGATTGTTCCATCTGCAGTACGCTCAAATTGCTTGCCACAATAGCGAACGAATTTGATTCACTTGATCCCAAGTTGAACTTCTCCAAGAAGCTGTCGATCACTGACTTTCCCTCAGGAATGTATGCGTACAAGATGTCATCCACATGTGTCGCCATAAGTGCAACGCAATCTTTGTCGGTTCCTGGAAGGAAATACAATCCTGGGTAAAACTTGGATTGTTTCAAGCCACTGGATCGGGCATCTCCGTCCAACCTCAACCAAAAACCTCGACCGCTGTCAGTCAATCCATATATAGGCACCCGCACAAGGAAAAACACCTCTGGATCAACTCCCGGGAGACCTCCTCGGGGTTGTCTCATAATGAGAACTCTATCAAGAGGACGACCTTGGAAATATGCGGATGCGACGTCCGCACTGTGCAATTGTGCGCCCTGGATCGCCGCCCAACAGCAAAGAATGTTGTGAGCTTCCGTATCTGCTGTAGGACTGTCTGATCTCAAACCTTCACTGACTTCGAAATTGCCGCATGATACCAACCGGCTCTTGAACTTTGGCACATATTCTTGATCTGATCTTCCTTTCATGAACTGATTCTTGTCGACATCAACCCACTTGCTAGGAATACATTGATGTCCTTCAGCAATCAACCTCTCAGCATCTTCTTTTGAGATCTCAACAACAGCAGCGAACTCAAGGAACTTGCTCCACTCCTTGGTTCTGGCATCCATGATGTTCTTCTGTACATCAGGTGACGCTGATTCATAGTGGATTGATTTCAACACTTTCTTACCTTGCTCTTCGTCCTCAGGGACTTCAACTTCCTGGGACAAAAATGATGCAAACAATGCTCGTGCTTCTTGTTGTTCTTCAGGACTTCGTTCTGAGTCTCTCTCACGAGCTCTTTCAAGATGTGTTCGCAATTGATGTGGCAAGTCATTCAAAAGTTCTCTTCGTAATGGCCAAGATGATGCTGACGGCGAGGATAGTGGTGCTCCCAAAACGGAGCCACTTGGAGTAAGATCAGGCACAAAGGAGTCTCTTCGAGATGGCACAAGTGATGAGCCTCTCTCCGACTCAGGTTGTAACTGAGACTCTACTCGAGGTCTCACGTTGCGTTCATGACCTCCATCTCCTGGACGTGGTCTTTCAACTCTTCTCTCTGGGGTTCTACTCTGTGAGAAGATGTCTTCTTCCATTGGACCTGTATCTTCCTCCTCCTCATTTTCTTCAAAGAAACCGGGCCGTATATCCCATTCATCTTCAGATACTTCTGGTATAGGAGGAAGTGCTGAATCCACATTGCCTTCATGGACAACCTCAACATCATCTGCTTGTCCTGGACCATCACGAACAACTTCAACCTCACCTGATTGTCTTGCATCAAGAAACGCTTGTTGACCTGTATCATTGATGATCTTGTATGGAATCACAGGTTCACCATTCAACACTGATTGAGCAAGAGCCTCAGAAGGAGAAGCAATGCGTATATTGTGAGAAGCTACAAGTACTGGAACGTTACCACATAATAACCATATGTTCTTCTGGTTCTCGTGTCCGATCACACGACATGTTGGTGACCAGGACGTTCCTCCTCGCTGATTGTCTCGTCTGAAAGTGACGAGGTCACCAATGTTGAATTCACGATCAAACACACTGGCATTGCGTGTCAACGCTCGTTGAACTCTTCTTGAACAATCAAGATGAACAAAAGCCTTCTGTGCCTCAATCCTGGCCAAATGTTGTAATGCAAAAATTGATGAAGGGTCATGTCGGGCCTGAATGGCTCCGAGCTGTGCGTGATCTTCCCCTGACATGAGTGAAGCTACACCACGGGGAGCTCGACCGAGCACCCACTGAGATGGAGAAAAACCTCCAACACGTGCAGAGTCGTTCTTCACACTTCTTCACCTGTGTGATGCACGACTCAACCTGTTCTTTGGTACAAGCCCCAACTTCTGTACACACTCGCCTGAAAAGAGCTTTCAACAAACCACCATGCCTCTCTACTCGGCCCAATGATTCCGGGCTCTCAAGGGGCACATGGTGCACTTGAATGTTGTGTTCATCCATGTACTGTTGTAAGACACCACGATTGTGCAAACCACGGTCACACATGATAGCAACAGGATGTCCTGCCCAACTGAACCAACGTTTGATAAGCGCGTCCAAACAGGATCGCGAAGAAGCTTGGCCTGCTCCAACCTTCACGACTTCAGCCTGTTGAAAACAAGTACCAATGCAAACCATGTTGAGAACTTGATACTTCTGCCCAGTTATATCTGTCAACTCCAGAACATCAATCCCCAAAGTATGGTTGAATGTATAATCACTTGGAAGCGTAACTTTGTGAGTAGGTTTCTTTGCTGATGTTTTCTCACATGTTTCACATCTATGCAACTTCACTGCATCAACAAACTCCTTACTCACCTTTGCAGCACGCACCAAATTGACCATCACCGTCTTGGGGGCATGTCCAAAAGCCCTGTGCAACCTACGCACAGCAATCCTGACACGCTGGGGAAGTTTGCGCCAAGACCTACGCCTTTCTGTTTCATCCTCTGGCAATCCAGGGATATCAACATCATCCAAAAGGGTCTCTTCATGTGTCAGGTCCTCAACTGGATCCTGCAATGCAACATCTTCTGGGCCATCGACTGCATCCCAGTTCCCACCATGTTCCTGAGCCTCTTCGATGATCTCTGCTGGAAAGGCAACGCTCATCTGCTCCTCCAATTCACGTTCAAGTGACCAATCACGAATCCATTGACAAAACTCCCAATTCAAAACGTCATCCAATTGTCGATACATAGACCAGTCTTGAAAACCTTGAATGAGTTCATCATCATTTGACACAAAAGCAAGACCAACTTCATTGATGTATGGTATCTGTGGTGTTTTGAATGACTCCCATCGTTCAGTGTGTGCGACATCAACAATGAGAAACCAACCTTCGAACATGTCTTTCCAACCGTGTTGCTCAGCATCACCGTCCAAGTACGCAGCATTCATGCCAACGTCATAGGTGTGCTCGAAAAAATCCTGGAAAAGAGTCGGATGCGACGTGATGACTGCAACCCCTGAAGTACCATTGGAAACTTGAGGCTGCATCCCAAGACTGGACTGCATTACCCGGTCATGGTTGTTGAGATTGTTGATACCTTCCAACACCATCTTCCTGTGTTTCTTGCTCATGGTCCTCCTCTCATCAGGATGGACTGTCAAATCAACGTTGGAATCAAAACGTACAGCCATGAAACCAGTGGGAGAATACTCATAGTCATATTCATATGAATCGGAATCATCTTGTTCCAACTTGGGCGTCAAGACCTTTGGCTGGGGCTTCGACTTCACTGCATACATTCTTTTGGGTTCTGAGGATTTCATCTCAACTTTTGGATTCAAAGACTTCTCAAAATCATCCCTTATATCCCGTATTTTCTTGTTGGGGGTCAACCTGACACGAACGCTCATGTATGCTCCCCTCCCGGAGTCATCGAACACCCCAGGTGGGTGGTGAAACACAATCACATCGATCCACGAATTGCTCAAACGCACTGTTGCCCTGCTATCAACGTTGTCTTCAATGAGTTCCCAGTCGCCTCCATTGCGAGGTCGACACCATGTAGATCGCTTCCAGTGCTTGATGCCATTCGAGACCTTGACAATCCGATTTGGCCGGATATGATCTCGAATCAGGACGTTCATGCGAACTCCGTCCACCAGTGGGTCTTCTCCATCTTTGCAAATCCAAAAGAGCCGATCCCTGTTACCCTCACGGATGCAAAAAGACACAACTTCGCTAAGGAGCTCGCCGTCCAATGTCTTCACTGACACGTTCTTGTTGTCAAACGGTCCATCTGATGCCAAATTGTTTCGGATCAGTCGCTCAAGCTCATCGCGATCATTGGGAGGCTCTCGAGATCGTTGTGGCAACGTTGAAGTTCGAGGTCCATCCATGGCCCCTGAAGATCGGGATCCGTCATCGGTCCCTGGCACGTCCGAAATGTGCGGTGGAGGATGATCTGGGCTCCTGGGAGCTGGCCTCGCAGATAGTGGCCTCGGCGATGGACTTCTTCCCCTGGATGCTTGTGCATGTCTCCAAGGAGGTAACTTGCGACGAAAACTTGGTGATCTTCTGCGCCTTGCTGGCGGCGACGGTGGCGTCGGCAATCTCCGTCGACGCAATGGACTCCTTGATCTCCTTCCGGTCTCGGCCATCCTTTTGATCTCAACCTGTTCTGTCCTAAGATGTCCAACATCTGTTGCAAGCCCTTGTACCAAACGTCGAATCTCATCAAGTTGATCTGATGTAGGATGTCCTGCAGTGGGGTGATCTGATGTAGGATGAGATGAATGTCCACCTGAAACATCATCGGCTGGAGCATCGCGCACGTCACGGCTTGAAGCCACATTGCCTCGTGATCGTGCCAACCTTGACATGTTCGGGATCAAATGTCGAATTTGTCCCAAGCTCGCAGCCATGTCCTTACATCCATGACAAACTCCACCACAACGCATCTCTCCCCACATCCAAGATGATGCATGAATGAGAACAACGTCATAACCAAGGACCTTGAGACACCTGTAGGCAGCAAATCCTTGTCCCACTGACCTGTGGCGACCTGACTTGCACTCCAAGTCCACCAGCACCTTACTGTCGGCTTCCTGTTGTGTGACGAACTGGAGGATGTTGTTGAGATGTTGGATGAACCTGTCTACTTTGCTCATAGTCTCAAGGATTCCATGATGCCAACCCACATGCGACCTGAGGTTAACGTCCTGATCAGGATCGTTAATGTCCTCACAGTTGATGCTCAAAGTGCTCCTGCTGGTTCTGCACGCATGTTGTTGAAATCTACGTCCACGAGTCATGATGATCACCTTCCTGTCACTGCGCAGCTCTTCGTTCAACTTCGTCTGCAAGATGTCATAGTCCCTCGAATGAAAACCACACATGTCATGGTCAGCCATGGCAACTTCCGATGTGGATGCTGTGTATGCGATATTGTACTTTCTGTGACACTTCGGGATTTGGGGAAGTTCATCCGACGGTGTGTTGTTGATGTTGGTCAATCCTTCAGTCAAGTTGATCACAAGTAAACCTGATTTGGAACATCTCTTGATATTCAATGGTTGATCTTTGATGGAAATCACCCCTTTTGCTAGGTCCTTCACTAGGCCTAACTTGGTTTGCGCATGCAATGAAAGAAGCAATGGGCTGTTGCCTGTTGACAATTGATAGGAACCCAATTCCCCATGCATGTTCCCGTCTGGAAGCAGCAGCGAAAAAGGAATAGATCTCACACCTTCGGTCTTGGTACTACCACTTCCCAGGCCAGCAAAACTCTTACAACCGTCATCCTTCAATGGCATGCTGTACCCTAATCGGGCCAGTCGTGCTTCTGCATCGACTGCCCAGGCTTTGCTATGACAAGTGCTGTTGCAACCTTCATCCAATACTGCAAAAACATGGGGTGACTTGGCAATGTCAATAGTTTCATAGTTCATGTAAACCAAGTCTTGAGGGTATTGAGTGTCACTTCCATGCAAACAAATGCCAACGTACCCAGCTAACTCCCTGCCCGAGGGGTCGCCGTGCCCATCTTCATTGACAAGTGAAAAACTGTCCTCTTCCTCTGTCACGTCATTGATGGCTTGATGCAGTAGTTCATGAAGTCGTGCACGGGTCATCACCTCAGATTGACAGGTTTCGGTAACAAGAGTGGCAAACAGGGGCAGCAACTCTTCCAACTGGACTGGATTCAATCCATCCGATTCTTCAACCAATGATTCAACAATGGGGACTGTTCGAACTGATGCTGTTTCAACCTTCTTGGCAATGGCAACACGCTCCTTGCGAATCTGCATAGGAGCTTCATCAATGAAAGTGCAACACTTCTTGCAGAAAGTACGGTGTGTTGATTTGCTGGATCCCCTAAAATCGGTGTCATCATGAGGGCAATTCTCAGGGGACATCAACGGTACCATGTCACGCCTTGTTGTTTCGGAATGACCGCACACAAGACAGGTCTTCCTGATGGTGTACCCCGTAGAACCTTGTTTTGTAAACTCACGACATTCCTGACACTTGTTCGGCAAAGGAGGATTTGGGGGTTTCTTTCTGCCAGTTTCCCGAGTCACCAACAAATCTCGGTGCTCGACACGCTCAACAGGGACTTCGCGCAAGTGAATCCCATCAGCACCAACCACAAAGTACTTGTCAACCCAATTCAACCATGTGACATAGTATGGACTCTTGGGGGTATGTTTCTTGGCATGATGATAGTACCCTGTCTGTTCAAACAACACATTCCAAAAAGACAAACCCTTGAACTGTCCAACAGGAAAGATGCACCCATGGTCCTCGGGTCTCATTGTAACATCGAGATCCCGGGAAATCAAGCCAACGTTGCTGCTAGGCTTCGCTTGTCGAACTGCCATCATAGCAACTGCATCTCTGTCACGGCCAGGTGAAGCTGTCAAAGTCACACCATCGTCATCTGAAGAATCACTCATGTCGGCAAAGTGAGCTGCGGGCTTTGGAGCTGACTTTCCTGGGGCTCCCGATTTGGAGCCCGGGAATTTACATTCCGGGTCACCGGCCCAGTGCCCTATGATGCCGCACCTCAAACATTTGCTCTTCGACTTCAGCTCTGTGAGCTTACGTCTCCTCTGAGGTTGGACTTCACGATCTTTCCTTTGCCTTTCCCTTTGGGCTTGCCAAAGGATTTGCCCTTGCCACCTGCTTTCCCCATTGCGGTGAAAGCAGCAAGTTGTAGCTGGATGGCGTCTCCTGCTTGTCGATCGTCTTCTGCACCTTCAACTTCAAGCAAGCTGTTCAATGCAACTGCTTCGTACTCATCGACGTCGTCAAAGTAATCAAATTCGTTGTCACCTTCTAGGTTTCCTGGCTCCTCTTCTGCAATGTCACCAAGCATGCCAACATATGAATCATCCTCCCAGGATTGATCCACAGCTTCATCCCAAGATTCTGCATGTTCCTCCCCATCATCGGGGTAGGCTGCATAGGCTGCTTGGGAATACGATCCCTTCGAAGAAGGTTTGCCTTTGCCATAACCCTTGCCTGACGACTTGCCATGCTGTTGAGGATTACCACGTCCTGTCCAGGATCGTGACCCTTCTCGCAAGTGAGTGCCACTGTAGTTCTCGATCAGCACCTTGCCAACACCTTCAAAATCCTTAGTGTCTGCACAGGCCTTCACAACGAGGATCTCCTGTCGATTGAGCCCACTCAACTCCAACTGTCCGAAAACACCATTGTGTCATCCAACTCGCATAGCATGTGCCACCAACGTCGTCTCCTCTGAACATAGGAAAGCATGGGTTCGCCTGGTTGGCGAGACAAAGGACCACCTTGCTTCTGTCCTGCTCGAAATAATTCCTTGGCTTCCTCACGGGCTCTTGGAAACACATGGGATTTGATCTCACCCACAAGTTTCACAAGGCCACCAGGTTTGGACAACACTTCAAGTCCAAGATCCCTAGCTATTGAGAAAGCATCTCCTCTCAGTCCTTCAATCACCTTGTTAACCAATGGTCCACGATCAATGTCTGTCTTCTGCTTGCCGGACTTCGAGGATTTTCGGCTCGCTCCAGACTTCGGAGTCGAGACTGCTGATGTAGGCTGGGCTGCTTGAGTAGCACCCGACAAATCTGGAAAAGTAGCATACTCATCTGCATCTTCTGCGGCAGGCTCTGTTGCTGTGGTCCCAACGGGATCCGCAGGCTTACTTGTCTCCTCCTCCAATTGTTGCTCATAAAGACGAATCCGAAGGAGAGTCCTGAACTGCCAATCATGAAAGTTCGCCGCATCACCTGCATAGATGTATGAGCCACTCTTCGTCTCAAGTGGTGCCGACGAATGGCGTTCCTGATTGAAACGAAGGCCATTGATCGACATGATGCTCGCTCCGTTCGGAGTCGAACAAGGAGAAAAACGTTAACAAGTGTCTGCCCTGGTCAGGGTCAGACAGATTCCCGAACCACGACGCACTCGAAGTTCAGTTGATTCCCAAAGTTACCAGACTCAAATTCACAAAGGGTTCCCTGGGTCACTGACGTACCACCGGATGCAGGTCGTCACCTGCTCCGCTACCAATATGAATTGGAAACGGGATCGTCAAATGCCCAACTTTTACCACGGCAGCGCGGTATGACTCAAGGGCCCTAAAGCCAAATGTCAACGGGGCATGTGATCACTTGGCTATACAAAATATACATTAGACAGGTCAAACTCACACCAGCTGCATCCAGCTGCATCCAGCTGCAAGCAAGATGCCATGGTCCCCAGCTAGTTCTCGCCAGAATGACCTGGGGCACCGTGTCAAAAGAATCATTGGTCCCTCGCCAAGTTCAGCACTGCGACACTTTCTGCAACCGCATTTCCAAAACGTTTCTAGTACCCGTATAGTGATGTCATGAAAATGCTGGCACAGCTAGACATGCTGGCTGACTTAGCAAATGGCAAATTCAAAAGACAAAAGGATGCAACAAAATGCAACAATAACCATCACGATACACAAGGAATCGAAAGGATACAAATGGCACATCAGGAGCAGTTGATGACAAGTCGCTTTACCCGGCTCTCCGGCAGGGATGAGACATCTTGCAAGTTCAGCAGTAGGGCCAAAAGTTTGTGGAACCTTCGGCAATCCCCGAGATGCGGACCTACGACATCCTACGACCTCCCACTCCCAACCACAACTTTCCATGGCACCCGCATTCGACACAGATTGACACAGACTACACAGCCGTGGAGCTGCAAGTATTCCATCCTGCCATTCTGGGTAAAGTGGTCGAAGTGACGCTTGACCTTCAGGAATCTGAGTTGTGGAAGTGTTTTGTGCCGCTTCTCAGAGGATTACACATGAAATTTGAATGTACTGAATGACCTTAAATGAATTCAAATGATATCAAAGGGCGGAAACAGCGGCAACCTGCTCGAATCTGAGAAACTGGCCAATTCAACATCAGTGACATGGACTTGGAACTTGCGAGCAACAAGGCGCATGAAGCGTTGCTCCTTAAAGAAAGTGGAGATAGAGCCAACAGTGAATTTGACAGGGAGAAGCCGCAATTTGTGACTGGGATTGATTGAGCCTGGTGGATGCAAGATAAGTATAAACATGTATAAACGGTAACAATACTAGACATAGACAAGAATGGAAGAAACCAACATAACAAAACACGACTTTCCTGGCAGTAACATCGGCAGAACAACAGGCACAGCGCTGATCGCTTTGCAATCTTTGCACAACATAAGGCGTCTCTCTGCCAACTCCAAATTCTACCCATTTCTACCCACTACAGGCACTGCATGCACTGCTTGCAGCACTGCGTGCATAGTGCAGCTAGGTTTCCGTGTTGAGCAGCAGGCATTCCTGGAAAGCGTTGCGCGTAATCCAGGTCAAGAAATCCGCAAAGGTCACTGGAAGGTTGGTGTGTTGGATGTCAATCGCTTCCTGCGCTGTGACCATGACACTCTTTGCCAAATCTTTCAAAGCGAACCTTCAGAAGCAACAAATTGGAAGAATGACAGGAACATATCGGGACAACTGAACGGAATGCCGATGAATTTTCGGGTGCTGCATGACAAGGTGACTGGATGAATCCAACGATCTCGAAACAACCTGTGATAACAATGTGATTTCAATCTGAGTGGCAAAGATATACTGTAAAAGATTATAAAAGTATGTTTGAGTCAAAGCTCCTTGAAGAGCTCTCGCGGAACGTCTTTGGCCGACGGGAAGCGCTCTCGCAGGACATGTCTCAAGAGCAGCTGAAATTCGTACCTGGAAAAAAATAAGTCAAAATGCTGATGTGACCAATGCAAAATTGACAGAAGAATTGCAAAAACTCGACTGGCTCTTTCTACTCAAGCCTGGCTCTTGGCAAGACCGGTCGAAACATGTGGAATCCAAATGAATTCAAATCATGTGCCATTGAAATGAATGAGCCGATGCTCAAATCCTGAGGAAGTGGCGGAGATAGAACATCGTCATTGTTTAGATCGTAGCGCTTGAACAGCTTCCAGGCCTCTTGCCATGATCCAACATGACCCAACGCCAAAATGAAGCGCTCCACACACACCAAAAGAGATCAAAAGAGCTGCCAAATGCAGGACTTTGTTCACACACCACTTTGAAACCCTCAATTTGTTCATAGTCTCTCTCTCTCTCTCTCTATCGCCATCTCAGAGAGTTCAATTTGTTCATAGTGTTGTTCAATGTTTTTCATAGCTTTTCATGGTGTTGGCGAAAACCTTGACGCTTTCTGCGCTTTATCAATAAATGCCGCAGCACCTGCGTGACGTGACCTCCGGGCAAGTTGAAGTCGCATGACAGCTCATGCGCCTTAAACCTTGGATTTTCATGGTCTCACAATGTGATATTCCATGATATTCCGCAGTCTGAAGTATGAACACAGGCTCATGCAACATCTTATACCATACCGAATCATACCCCCAGTGCCATGAATGCATATGAATGCCACGATATAATGCACACATAATCCTTTCCCCCTATTACTAACCCAAATACTAAAAACCTAGGGTCCATCTCTAATTTTGGAAAATTTCAGATTGGCCAATTTGATTTTTAATTGATCCCCTTTAGAAAACAATTTAAAAATAAAGCTACCATTTGTGGGTTTTGCCCTAATAATAAAAACTAATTAACCCCGGGGTGTTTATCATTAGGGTCCGTCCGATTTTTTTCTAGTTTTTATTATTAAGGTTTTAATTTTATTAATGGGGTCCGCTTCGAAATCCAATTTTTGGCAATATTTTAATCGCGTTATATAAAGAAATTTAATTGCTTTTGAAATCGGAAAAAATAGCTATTATTATTAAGGGCTTAAATTTATTAATAGGGTCCGCTTCGAAATCCAATTTTTGGCAATATTTAAATCGCGTTATATAAGGAAATTTAATATATTTTGAAATCGAACAAACTAGTGTTTTTCTATTAAGGGTTTAAATTTATTAATAGGGTCCGCTTCGAAATCCAATTTTGGCAATATTCTAATCGCGTTATATAAGGAAATTTAATTTATTTCAAAATCGAACAAACTAGTTTTTATTATTAAGGGCTTAAATTTTATTAATAAGGTTCGCTTCGAAATCCAATTTTTGGCAATATTTTAATCGCGTTATATAAGGAAAATTAATTGATTTTGAAATCGAACAAACTAGTTTTTATTTTTAAGGTTTTAATTTTATTAATAGGGCCCGCTTCGAAATCCAATTTTTGGCAATATTTTAATCGCATTATATAAAGAAATTTAATTGATTTTGAAATCGGAAAAAATAGTTTTTGTTATTAAGGGTTTAAATTTATTAATAGGGTTCCCTAATAATAAATACCCCCCTAATACTAAAAACTACCTGAGGTGTTTATTAATAGGGGGGAGGTTTAGTATTGGGGGGAAGGGATTAGTCAAACATATCTAGAACTGATTGACGAGGTTCGAAGTAAATTTCCCCAGCTTGGAGTCCGCAGCTTGGGACTGCACCTGTCACTGCGGCGGCATGCAGGTTTGTAACACAATGCCGGACCCGTCCAAAACAAAGGATCTTTCATGATCTTTCCTGCGGCTAGTTACACTTCAAAGAGAATGCACATGAATGCACTGCCCTTTGAAAACATCTGCGTCAATGTGGACATACAAACAGAATGTGGATATTTGTGGATGTCGATCCCGGCAAACCTCCCTGTAGCAAAGGATGCGCGTTACTGGCTCAAAATGCAAACTCATGCAAGAATTTTTGCAGTGCACGTGTATTATCGTATCTTATCTTATCTTAAAAATTATATTATATTGTTATACATTGTTGTACAGAATGCTATATTACCATAATTATATCATACTACATTACACTATATTATACCAGAATGCTCTTCTGAACCTTCGCATCTGCATTGCGCCTCTTCAATCTTTGGTACATAGTCGACCTCCTTCAACGAGCCGCTTTTGCCGAACACCTGACACTGCTCAAATATGGTGCAGTACCGACAAGCTTCCTCCTGTGCCATGAGCACCGGGACGCACTCTGAGTACTCAAACAATGATTCGTGCAACTGGTGCTGATCCGTGAAACATTGTGATGACATGTGATGACATGGTGAGACATTCAGCCTTACTTCCCTCATTTCCAGCATCTTCCTTCTTGCCCCTGGGAACACTGCTGTCAAAAGGGCCAAGAACTCAGCAGCACGTTATGCTCAGGCAGCTCAACATTTCTCAACTTTTGCAGCCAAGGTGCTCTCGTGACTTTGATCGAAAAGATGTGGAGATGGAATTTGTTGGACTTCCCCACTCTTCTAATTGCCTCACAGGATGCCATGACAGGCTATGACCCGCTGGAATTCATCTCAGCCGTAAAACAGCTTTGTACGAGTACAGCGTAAAAATGCATGAACAAAATGAACAAGTTCATCATAGTTCATCTTCAATTTCTGTGAGCTCAGATTTTTGAGAAGTCTTCAGAGTCTGAGCCTCGAATGAATGGCAGCGGCAGCGAGGTTCTTTTCCTATCGGTCAGTGCAAATGTAATGACTACGACGTGTTGAGAACTTAGTGCTCTGGGTCTGCACGTACAATGATGTACAATGATGTATAATACACAGAGCAGGCCAGAGAAATATATTGTACAGTACAGTAGAAAATGATAGAACATGAATAACAAAAATTGATGACATCAATGAACATAGAAGAAAGGGATTGAACATGAGTGAATTCATTAGCGTTGTCACTGGCTTACCTGCCGGATCCTGCTGGAAAACTCTCCGGAGCTCCTCTTGACGATGGAGCTTTTGCACGGTCAACCGTTTGCGACAAGAGAAGGCCTCAGCAGATCGAGCATCGAGCATCGAGAAGCATCGAGAAGCACATCTCTAAGCGCCGAGTGCCAGAGGTATCCGGAGGTCACAAAAAGTCACATGCCACTGTAACATCAGTTTTACATAGTTTTACACTTATACATCTGTTATACATCTGTTACCCCTGATGAGTCAGGCCTGTTTCTAAAACTCCTCGGTTCAAGTCATAGTGCGTCATAGTATGTCATAGTGCATCCTAGCCACCAAGGCGCACTCGCCTTTGTTGGTTGCTCTGATTCTGTAGACCTTGCAGGAGAAAGATATCCATTGCTAGCAACAGGCAGTCCAACATGTGGCAACACTACTGGCTAAGTGGACGATTGCAATTGGCACGCCTTGTGATGAAGCCTTCCAGCCAAATAGGCCATTCCTTGGTGTGATCGATATCGATCGAGTGAATACCAGAGCCCAGGCTGAGATCCTGGAACACAGCCAGTTACTGTCAAAGTATGATGTCAAAGTATCGGAAAAAGAAAGTTCTGCAAACATGACATGAAAAGTTCACGTCCAATACTAAAAACGAAGATTTGATACGTTCATGCAGCTGCTATGATTTGCTTGTCTTCCTCAGCATTTCTATTCCGAGAACTCATGGGCTGTTCGCGCAAACGATTCGAAGGTTCCCCTACCACGACACTGATTCGGTCTTGTGACGACACTGAGTAGCTGCACGATGAACCCCCAATAAGAGAAAACAAAAACAAAGACATTGCAGAAGAAACATACCCCGAACTATCACAAACCATGACAACCGCAAGTACCAAACCAATATTCGGAATTATAGGATGGATGCCTGAGTTAGGCAAACAAAATCAAAAAAAATAATATGTTATTGATCAATCTTGCTCATCAACACAGGGCTGGATCTACCGTGTGGCCCCATGCCAGAACTGCCATGTATGGACTGTATGGACCGTTGAAATTTGATCGTGTCTCGCGCATGGCATGGCATCTCCACGCGCCGTCTTGCAATTAGGATTCGTTGAGCTACCTTTGAGGACGACTTTGGAGAACCTCCACGCTGGGCTAGGAAAGCTGGCATTATGCTTGCATTTTCAGGGGAATCTGACGTGGTGATGATGATGAGGAAGACAAGGCAAATCATGATAGGTTGAGGATGGCAACATTTTGGTTCATTGTTCAAACTGATTCAAAGATCTGAAGAAGTTTGAGGTGCTTTGAAGTTGCCTGAAGCAGGACACACGTCACTCTACTGGTTGACCAAACATGCGTCGCACAACATCACAATCGGTTTGGACGCAAATTCACAATGGGGCACAACAGCCTGATGCACATTTGGCGTATTCAATAAAGTAAGGTAAAGAATGGACAATGAAAAATAATGATCATGAATATAGTATACATTATTCCAAAAAGATGCAGTGAAAAATAGTGAAAATATGTACTGTAAAAAAAAGTAAAAAGATCGTTCTTTTCGAGGCTGGCCTTCAACCTTCTGCTCAACAGAGTCGATGGAGGACTGGGATGAGGTCACTGCTAGGGTCAGGCTATGGATTCCTGACCTAGCGCAAGGCGTCCCAGGCGTCCCAGCTGCGCGACAGCGAAATGGTTGAAATGCTGACAGCTTCTGGATGCTTCTGGCACTGAGGATCCGGCTTCCCTCTCAAGGCACTTCGCCGGTTTCGGCTGCCTGGGGCCAAACAAAATGCAGTGATTAGCTTGGCAACAAGGAATCAGACTCAACAAACTGCTTATTTGTCCTTTGCATTTAAACATCTCTTGCCTGCTGATATCGTCAGCCGGCTGCCAGGAACCTGTTCTCTGAGCGTCAGGGCATCAGAATGCGTCAGCCGTACCATCTATCTATCTATCTATCTATCTATCTATCTATCTATCTATCTATTTTTTAATCTAATCAATCAATCCAATCAATCAATCTATCTATCTATCTACCTATCTACCTATCTATCTACCTATCTATCTACCCATCTATCTACCTATCTATCTACCTATCTATCTACCTATCTATCTATCTACCTACCTATCTACCTATCTATCTACCTATCTATCCGTCCATCTATCTATCTATCCATCCATCCATCTATCTACCTACTTCTATATATATATTTATATGACGTTTTATATGTATCTACTATGTCTTACAAGTGAGTTGCTGTGAGGGAGAAGCACATCCTCTGAGTTGGTGCATAAAGAGAGCCTGCGGCAACCCGTCAGAGGTGACAGGTGAAGTAAGTGGCCGCTTCGGCAAAGCCTGGTGCACGCAGTAAGCAAAGTCACTCTAAAAATTCTGGAGGCAAGTCTCCCCTCTTCAACCCTCGGATTCCATCTAACAAGTGATTCTTCCATCACCTAGAATCCAAGATATCATGATTATGATGCATGACGCACATACCTACTACGAAACAGTTTTCTATCATAATATATCATAATTGATCATAATTGCATATCTAGTACATCTGATGATTCTGATGGTGTCAAGAGTTCACATATTCAATGCTTGACTCCTCGGGTATCACATGGTATTGCTTTAGGAATTGGGAAAGGGTGGCCAACAACAAACATTCAACAAACCGCCCACAGATTGGAAGGCCAGCATTCCGGCATGTCTTCGGGCCGAAGTCTTCGGGTCTACGTAGCGCCTGCCACTGTCGTGGAAGTGGGTGACCACTAGTAGTGGGACCTTGGTACAGGTGACATCCAGTTCATCTTATGGAAGAGCTATGACAATTATACAGTACATATATATGTACATATACACGCATGCTACAGGAAGCCTGTGAGCCGTTCGTTACAGCCATGCTGCAATGCTGCCCTGTTTCGATGCCCCAGCTGCATACTGCTCACATTACCAGACACACTCCCTCACAGATCTCACAAATCAAAGCTCCTGATTGTGCCGGCGTGTGAAAGCTCACTTTGAAGATGAGCAGCGTGAGTGTGTCAGGAAGGTCGTTGCTACAGATGGACCTGCACTTGTGCTTCGTGAGGATGTTGCTCGCGCGGATTCCTGCAGCTGCAGTCCCTCACCCACCACAACACAGTCTCAGACACGTTCTATATCGTTCTATAATTTTTATATAGTAATTTTCATAATTTTCTATCTTGCTTCAGGCTTCGCATGGCTTAGGCCACCCCTTGGCACAACTCACTCGAGCAGCAATCGTTCCAGGCGTCCGTTCCAGGCGTCCTTCATGGGCAGTGGATCTGCCTGTGAAAGCTCTGGGCTCGGATATAGCAATCGCCGGGCTCGCGCCAGACGAGCTCGCTCGAGACTTGGATCAGGTTTGACTCCTGCAGGCAGGCATTGCGGGACTCTGAAGGAGACTAGCTGCAGGATATGTCATATTTGCCACAACTGCCACTTGGGTTTTGTTCCTTCCTCATGGACTTGTCTGTAACCGCATTGTGTTTTTGATTGTTTTGGTGTGTTTTCCACATCGCGCCTCGCTTTGGAGCCTCTGGTGGAACCCCTTGGTATCTGCACAAGGCATCCTTACAGGGTTGCAGGATCGCACGCGTGGGTCAGTCTGACTGATTTATCCAGGGAGAGCACTACACTGTGCGGGACAACCGCCATCATGCTCGAAAGATCCAAAAGATTTCACAAATGATCTCCGTACAGACTGCTCGACTCAATGCGTCGTTGGATTGAGCTGCGCATGATTGTTGCTGTCCAGAATCCTTCACCAAACGCAAAGCTGGGGACGCTTTCCGTCCATCCTCAGCTGCATATCTTCAGCAAGATATTTGACCAACGCGTTCCACCTAGTCCCAATAATCTGTCTACTGTATCATATTCTATATCATTGCCGAAATGTGTGTGTGTAACATCTGAATAGATGTGAAACTTCTTCTCTCTCTCTTTCTTCCTTTGTCCTCTCCCTTTCTAATTCTAAATTAAATTTAATGCAGGGGGCCACCGGGGTCCCGGGGGGGTCGGTGGCCACCGAAGACACCCCCCCGGGACCCGTGCAAACGTACCTGCATTATTCGTAGGATGCATCGTTAATTTCATTGTTTCGTATCTAATCTGCATGTTTCAGGATTCAGTTCCTGACGGATCATATAATGATCCATTCTTGTCTAGTGTGATTTCCATGGTGGCTCCGACATGGTGCCATGGAGCCATTTGAGGCAACCCTCTTCAGGGTGAGTGTCGACAGTCTTGAATTCTGAATTCACACATTTTAACTTAGTAATTCGTTTAAGTAAAGGGCAACAATCAGCCTTGCGGTTTATCAGCCATTTTGAGTTCTCCTGCTGCTCCGGATGTCCCAGGGATTACTCGCCGATGCGTTTCTTCAACTGTGAAGCCGTGCCGAATTCCAGAAACCTCCTTTTTCGCAGCTGCTTTTGACGGTCCATGACAACAGCATTTGATACAGGAACCAGGCAGGCACACGACTTTCAGGTGTGGTCTTTTTCCTTTTGGTTGTCTGGTGAGGTGAAACATATTGTGCACTTAATTCGCTGGAATTTGAAAGCCGTTTATGCCAATTGGGGCAAGACTTGACCACGGTCCCGGTGCAGGGAATAATCGCACGACCTTTAGGCATCTAGGGACTGAATCCTGTTTTTAATTAATTGTTTTGGTTTTCCTGTCGGTCATCAACTAGTCCCCCATTTGGTCCCTAATTTCCCCGCGTGCCTCTCCGTAATGTGTCGTGGGGTTTAGGTGTGTGCGCTGTTTTGTTCAGGTCCGTTTCGCCGTGTAGGTTGGTTCCGGAGGTCCGTCTGTTCCCCTCCCCCCCCTGCGCTGTTTTTGGCCGTTTGCCCTTCGTGTGTCCGCTTTTTTCTTCCTCTTGCCTTTCAGGGTTGACCCGGCTCTGGCCGGGTGTGTGTGTGTAACATCTGAATAGATGTAAAACTTCTTCTCTCTCTCTTTCTTCCTTTGTCCTCTCCCTTTCTAATTCTAAATTAAATTTAATGCAGGGGGCCACCGGGGTCCCGGGGGGGTCGGTGGCCACCGAAGACACCCCCCCGGGACCCGTGCAAACGTACCTGCATTATTCGTAGGATGCATCGTTAATTTCATTGTTTCGTATCTAATCTGCATGTTTCAGGATTCAGTTCCTGACGGATCATATAATGATCCATTCTTGTCTAGTGTGTGTGTGTATGTGTGTGTGGACCATCTGTACAGATGTAAAACTTCTATCCGGTACTTCGGTGCACTTTTATTTTTGTTATGGTTCCTGATGTTCTGGTTTCTTTTTCATGCAGGGGGACACAGCATTTCACTGGGACTGTGTCCAACGAAGCTACCAGTGAAATGGGATATCCGGCTTGGCCAGCTGGACGTACCTGCACCATTTTTCAATTTCGTCAATGGCAACCGGCTAAGCCAAGTACCGGCATGTCGTTTCGTTTCTTTTTCTTCATTATGGACAAAGTTGCATCAGAACCTTCCTCAGAGCAAGGACGTAGAAAACATACCTGGAACTTTGTTTCCAACAGTTGTCAAACCACTGTACGGTTTTCGCAATCTGATTTACTGCTGACTTCGTCAGATGGAACAGTTGCACCTAGCAAGGACGTAGAAAGAATTCCTCTTTACTGTTTCTCCCGCCTAGTCATCCACTTTCTCCTGTCAGACTTTACTGGATTGTTTTTTGCACGTGAGATGCATTCCACATCAGTAATTCGATAAGATGTTTCTGAGCAAGTGTGTCACTCATACCGTTGTCCGACAAGGTGGTATGAGCCCTTCGGGGAAAGCCTTTCTAGGCTAAAAATTGACGGTAAAACGATGTCTGAATTTACACTTTTGAATTAGTAATTCGTCTAAGTAAAGTGAACCGTTGGCCTTTTTCCAGAGTCTCACACGTCGGTCGAGTGAGTGTTGAAGCAGCTTCCCGCTGTACCAGGGAACCACCATTCGTTTGGATTGACACTGCATAGTTTGAGGCCGCGACAACAATCTTTCCTTTTCTCAAGAGACAGCCATTCCGCAGCCATTTTCACATGAGTTCACAGGCAACAGGACATCCTTGCAGGTATGGCACTTCTTTCTTTTATGGTCGTTGGTGAGGTCCAATTGTGCACGTAATTCAGGGGTTGAACACGTAAGCTGTCCAGAGGGTCGTGAAATGAATGCCGAGGGCCTTTGAGCCTTATCACGAATATTGCATGCATTGTGGATGCATCCTGTTTGAACTAATTTTATTATTTTTTATCGTCTGACAGTGCTGCCATGATTCCCGGACGGTATCCTGCCGTTCCCGACAACATGTGGACCTTCTGGAACCCACAAGCGATGGGACTTCAAGGTCAATTTTGTGGCGGTGATCTTATGAACCAACAGTCACAGGCTCAGTCCCAAGCTCAGACTCAGGCACAACTGGTGGCTCTCAGAGAGCAAAATAACATCCTGAATCAACAACTGGGATTACAAGCTCAGACACATATCCAGCACCTTCAACAGCTTCTTCCATTCCATCAATCCACGTTCCATCCACATCCACCTCAGCCCACATCTTCAGTGCCTGACCCACCAACACCGGTGGCACCTCAGTCCACACCACCGGGATCCAGTGCATCCTTCAATGCAGAAGAGATGATGCAACAGATGAAGAACACGGCCGAGTCCAGTATGCAAGCGTTTGTGGACAAAACCCAAGAGCGCAACATGAACCAACCTCCTGCTCCTGCCCAGCCACCAATTCAAGCGTCTCCACCTATTCCAAGTCATCCTCCTCCACCTGGTGAAGTTCCACCACCGCCACAACAACCTCACCGTCGCTCTCGCTCTCGCTCCCATCGGCACCGTGGGGCACCGGACAAACGTCCAGTCTCTGTTCCACGAAGTCCTCGTCGTGCCACACCACCGAGACGAACACATCGTTCCTCTCGACCAAGGTCGTCACACAGAAGACGACATTCTACTTCGAGGGATCCATCAAGCGTCCAAGTAGAGCTTCTTCTGTCAATTTGCGGTCAGCCTCTCCACGTCGACGAGAAGTACTACCAGACAATGATGATCTACATCGTGATGCACCCAGCCGTGAACCAGCTACACTTCACCCAGCATCGTGGGAACACCAACGCTATCATCAAGATCCATCATCCCACAACGAGTACTACCAGTATGACTACCCATCCTATGACCAACCATCCACAAACAAGTGGAAATCCTGGAGCCAATGGAAGGACTATTCTAAGTCCCAGCCTCGAACCCATCCATCGGGTTGGATTGACTATCCCAAACCCTCCTCCAAACATCACCGCTACTATGACTCTTCCTACAAGTCTTCCAGCAAACCTCTCACTGCATTTTCCTCTGACCGTCCACGTCAACATCCACACAGATCCAGTTCAATCCAATCTCGTGTCTCCACCAGTGCTGTCCCTCCCGGACATGTTCCCATCAATCTTCAAGATGGTTCGAGAGAGGAATGGGCTCGTCATATCGAGCACGCTTTGAATCATCCAGACAGGATGCGAGCTGCCAATGAGCTCAAGGCTGAAGAACGTCCTGAGACGACCACCTCCATTCCACAAGATCTATACGATGCTGCGAAGGAACAGCTCCATCAGGTCGATTCCAGAATTCCAGCTGATGTACTGGAGAAGGCTGTCCAACTGTTCTTCAGCACCAACCTTCTTCCGGACTACGACCTCTCCACTTGTTACGTCCGAGAACTTTCTCATACCAACATGCTTGCACTCATCATGCCATTGCCATCAATCAGTCGATTCTCGATGCCACCTCCTTTTGACAATCAACATAATCACACCTGGGCACTCTGTCATGGTACAACCATCAAGTCCGCTCAACTGATCCTCTTGGAAGGTAAGATCAGACCGGCCAACTGGTCTTACCACAAGAACCCACAAAAGTGCCATTTACCCACCTTTGGGGCATACTATCTTGGCAGAGAAATCTCCAATGCGGACAAAACAATCCCAACCTGGACAGAAACGGTCCTCCTTGATTCCATGGAGAAAAAGGGCAAAGGCCAACAGGACGTCACTGTGGGCGCAATGTATAGAGGAGCCCATGAGCACATTCGCTTTCAAGCTGGTGGCAACGAAAAAGCCCAAGTCAACGTGGGGAAAAAGGCATAGTCACCACGCCGGAGAAGTACACGATTGCCCACAGCAACCATGTGGGCTTACACTTCATAGCTTTGAAATGGGCTGACCTCAAAGGCCCCAAGAAATTCGACAAAAAGCCCAAAGAAGTTGACATCGGTGACCCTGACTCAGAAGACTACAACTACCGCAGCAATCAAGAGCGACGTCGTCGAGGCTAACCATTTAGTCTGCCAAAGACTGCTTTTTGTAATTTTAGCGACATTCGGCCTAAACAGGACTCCGAATTACCTTTCTAGGATCTCCCTGGACAAAAGCTTTGGATCAAAATGCACGGTTGCTTCAATCTGTTTTGCTCTATTGGCACTGGTTTCATTCTTCTTTTGCTTTTGTTCCTCTTGTCTTCGTGTTTGTTCTTGCTGGAGGGTTTTCGTTGTTGTCCCTCATGAGTTTATTTTGCAATTTTGGGATTTTCTTGGATAACTTACATGTTGTCCATATTGCCATAGTCTCATTGAATTGCAGTCAGTTTTTCAGCGACCAAAACGAACCTGCCTGCGCACTCATGGCGGAGTCGGATCGTTCCAGATCACCTGTGCCTGGACGCAACCGAGCTGATCCGGGCGCTGCTGCCCAACCAGTACGACAAGAGCCGCCGTTCTTTCCTCGATGGTGTGGCCCATGCA